TACTTGGCGGCCCATTTGGCTTGTTGGCTTTGCACCTTCGTCCTCCCTACTGATGATGTGGGCTTGATACGTCCTTCAACATTCAAGATGGCTAGCATAATGGCGAGTGGCGAAGAAGTCTCTCTTGCAGTTCCTGTCTTAGCCAGCATCTTCAACGGCATAAATAGGATCTCGAGATCCTTGAGACCCCATCAAGAGAATTCTCCGTTCCCTATTCACTTCGTCTATAGTTGGTTGGCGCTTTATTTCAAGACCCATTGTCAAGTTCTGCAAGGCGTAGCCGTCGATGGCCCAAAGATGGTATCTTATTCCGGAGAAGGAAGCGCTAGATACTACACTCCCGCGGATGCACGCAAACGGATTCACAAAGGAGATCTTATGTCTTGGACTTGCACCACGATCCCTAGGAGCGAGTCTTCTTTATATGTTGATGATGGAACAACAAAAGGGTCCGAGAGAAATTATTTCATCGCCATTCGCTCGAGCTATCTCTCCTTGCGGCGTGGTAATCGTTTCGTTATTGAGCCATATAGTCCTCATCGGTTTAGCCGTCAATTTGGGTTTTACCAAGATGTGCCTGGAGTACTTGATGAAGACGTTCGCGAGGCTTCTTTAATAGATGGACTCCGTTATTGGCGTCTATGTGTTTTGCTCGAGTCCATGTCTAAAGTGATATTTTCCGTCATTCCTCAAAATTCGAGAAAGTTTCACACGGACGGCTATAAAAGATGGTGGACTAAAGCTTACGGAACTTATCTTGAAAATAAAGTTGCGAGTTTGGTGAACTTGGAGTTAAGTAAGATTCCACTTGAAGACAAAGAAGATGAGGCAAGAAATAGTCTCGGCAATCTTTCTCGCGGAAATGTGCTCCAAACCAAAAACCCTCCTAGAGATATAAAGAAGAGGAACGTTTTGCCTCCGTCGGATGAGAGTGACGATAGCCACATAGAACGTCATTGGAAAAGGCCGAAGAGGGACCCGCAATCTTTAAAACCACAAGATCTTCATATTGATAACAGTGTGGACAGTCATTCTCGAACAAATGACACTTTTGCTGAGAAGGTTGCACTTAACACTTTCCCTTTTTTTTTTATTTTTTTTTATTTTATTTTATTTTTTATTTTTTTTTATTTTTTTTATTTTTTTTATTTTTTTATTTTTTTTTTTAGTTGGAAAACGAGATAATTAACGTTGATGATCGCGAGGAATCTCAAGCTAGTCATCACTCAACTGCCAAGGCTTGCTCAATGGGTGCAACTTTGTCGCCGACTGCTTTAATGCCTGCCAGAGCATCCAAGATGAAAGAGACTGCGAAAGGGTCGTACAATGGTGCTTGTTCAGTTTTTGTGGGTGAAAATTTTCTGAAAAATCACAAGCGGGTTTTTCTTCGCCAATTATGGCAAGATCTTCGTGCGAGGATAGTACGGACTTCAATTGATTCCATCTCGTCTATTCAAGAAGATGTCCAATTAGTTCTTGGAACCATGAGGGATCTTGGTGATTTCGACATATCTTGCATAGAGGAATCATTGAAGTCATTATTTTCCCAGGCGACGGCTTATGATAAGGTGAGGTCGTCGAACTCTGAGAAGACATCTAAAGAGATTCTATCACGACAATTAGATGAGGCTAAAGATCGTTTGCATACTACTCAAGCTAGAGAACACAAAGAGACTCTTCAAGTTCAAGTCACCAATAGTGATTTGGAGAGTGTCAAGAAAGAGCGTGCTGCTTTGAAGGTGAGGGTGGGACAGTTGAGATCATCATTAAAGCGACAACGAGAACTCCTTCATACTGTTCAAACTGAAATTCGTGAGATTAACGAAGAAATTGCTGCCATTGAAAATACATCCCCTTTAAGTGATGATTTGGTAGAAGAATTGCGCGCTTCTGCCGAGCTTTTAGGAGATGCCAAAGAAAAGTTGAACGATTTAGACCCTTTCGCTTGAGCTAGATTTAGATTTTTTTTTTTATTGTTTATTCCACTTTTATGATTCATGAAATAAAAAAAAAAAATCTCCCTTTCCATCTTGCTCCC